TGTTAATATAAAATTGTTAGTAAATAAAAATTGTCATTTAGTTAAAATTATATAGTTTAATTAGTAATAAACGTATAGTAATTAGAAGCTTATTTTTAACAAATGAGAATTACATTAAAAATTATTTTTGTAAACATTATAATTATTCGATATGTATTGGTTAAGACTGATTTACCTGTGTAGTAGCAGCCTTTTTTAGCTGCAACTGCGATTGTAGTAACTTAATTCCGGAAGACCATCCCGCAACTTTTTCTGTGGTCCGATGCTTGTCAAAATCGTCGTACAAAGACATTGTGAATTACTTTAATGTTTAACTAACATTCGACCGCATCTGACATTTCAAATGTAACCTCAACTTTCAGAAGTCGGCTCATACCACAGAACATATATAAAGGCTCATACTTTCATAGATTTAATACATTTATATAGATAGTACAATTCGCGCAATTAATGCCTTCCAACTCTGTTTTGGCATTACGTGTTACCTTCTCGGTTATTTTCATGTTAATGGCTGTAATAGACGGACCAGCCAGCAGAATTGCGCGAATTTCTCCAACCTCTATAGATTCCGTGTTCGTGACATCTCGAATGTGTGTGTTTAAAGTTTCATTGACAGTCGTAAATTTCGGTTTAAAATATATTTACATAACCAAATTTTTTATTATTTACTGCTCATAATTTATCAGATAAGTCGCCATTCTTCCTTCTTATATTTATTTAAACCTCTATAAAATTAAGAAAAAATATCTTTGTGCATTTTTTTTCTTTTGCAGAAGGAAGCAAACAAGGAAAAATTTTCAACGACTTGAATCTTTTAAGACTTTGACGGAAGAGGTTAATTGTAATGAACGGGTATCCTTTACATAGTATAATCCAAACAATATATATATTAAGAATAATAAACAATTTTAATCACTAATTTCTAGATTACAATATTTACAATTAATATTTAATCCAATAGCCATCCTTTTCAATCACTCGTTGCAAACGACTGTTCGTGGAGTTCACCAGATTGTGGAAAATTTGTGACCTCTCCCGAAGACTGTTCCAAATTGCATATACATAATCGCTAATGGCCCATACATTTTCGAGTGGATTGTCTTCGGGAGAGGCCACAAATTTTTCACAATCTGGTGAACTCTATAAACAGTTGTTTGCAATGTGTGATTGAAAAGAATGGCTATTGGATTGAATATTAAATGTAAATATTGTAATCTTTAATTGTAAATATTGTAATGTAGAAATTAGTAATTAAAATTGTTTATTATTGTTAATATTATATACATATTGTTTGAATTCTATCATATGTAAAGGATACCTTGTCTTCTTCAGCCAAAATCTTAAAAGACTCAAATTATTCTTGTTGAAAATTTCTTCTTGTTCGTTTCCATTTGTAAAAGAAGAAAAATGCACAAAGATATTTTTCCTTAATCTTATATAGAAATTTAAATAAATATAAAAAGACAAAATGCAAATGATAAATATTGTAATAAACTGATCTGATAAAATTATGAGCCGTAAATAATTAAAAATTTGTTTACATTAAAAATGCACAAAGATTTTTTTCCATAATTTTTTATAGAGTTTTAAATAAATACAGAAAGGAAGAATAGCAACTTATCTGATAAATTATGTGTCGTAAATAATTGAAAATTTGGTTATGTAAATATATTTTCAAACGAAATTTACGACTGTCAACAGTGTCAATAAAACTTTAATCACACACATTCGAGGTGTCACGAACACGGGCTATAGAGGTTGAAGAAATTCGCGCAATTTCGCCGGCTGATTACGATTTGTCTACTATAGCCATGAATATGAAAACGACCGAGAAAGTAAACGCGATGCTTCAAGAGTGAATGTGACGTCATAGGGTTGGAAGGCATTAATTGCGCGAACTGTACATATTTTCTTGAAAATTCAGATCCATGTGCAACTTATGCGCAGAAGCTCGACGTAAAATGGTAAATCATTTTCTGACCTTGTAGATAAAATCGTAGCACAAGGAAGAACGTCGAAAATGGATGTGGTGGTATTACTGCATACATACGTCATACATTCATAAATTTAAAGAAAAAGCTATTTTTTTTATGCTATTTATTAAAAACATATAGTTTTACGGCTAATAAACGATAAAGATAAAATAACACTGTATAGTTTATTTCAAAATTCGATTTCGTTAATTCCGAGAGAGTATTATTTATCCTTGTTCAACATTTGGTAAATAACAAGGATAAAATGATATTCAGGTTGATAGAGTTTTGGAACGCACTCACAGTAGCGTCTTTCCGCAGTCCGCTATAGTTTGTCTGATTGGAGGTGGTTTCTCTAGTATTCTGATAGTCGAAGTTCTTTCTCCATCGCAGCAAGATGGGTGAGTGGCACGATTTTATTGAAATTGTTTTTCATCGTCACGAATCTGAGTTTTCTCGCTGCAATATCGCGATAAGACGTAATCAGCGCGTAAATTAGATATCATCCTTTTGTCGGCAAGGAATATTATTTTCGTCCTTTCAACTTGAGTTCGTGGAAACTATCTTGTCTCTTGTCGACGTCCAGCATAGCCATGTTGAACTCGTGACATTTTCGTGATTTATATTTTCCTTTTTTAACAGCGAAACTCACGTTTTAAACAAATGTAAATATCATGGATTATCCAGTTATTAGTGTCTTTAATATGTACAGAAGAAAAGTTTTGTAGCATCAACTTAATATAATGCTTGATTAGGTTAACCTTTCTTTTTTTTTTAAATACGTTTAAATGAGTTTACGTTAACAAGCTCGAGAGTCTACTAAGTTATTTATCAATATTGCACTGTAGGTATTTCTCGAGATCACTGGCATAAGCGAAGAGCCACTGGTGGAAAGAGGAAGCCCATTCGCAAGAAGAGGAAATTTGAGTTAGGACGTCCAGCTGCAAATACCAAACTTGGACAACAGCGGATTCATACTGTAAGCTTAATTTTCTCAAGTTTTTATTGGATAGAATTATAAGAGTAAATAAGCATTAGTTAACAAAGGCAGAATAAATCTAAATATTATAAAATAAATATTAATATCATAATGAATAGAATTACAATTTACCATCATTAATTTGTAAGCATTATCGTTGATGTTATGTTACTGCAATTATTCATGAAAAAATATTTTGATAATTATTAATAAGATTGGAAAGACCATTTATATGAGTGTACCACTTAAATTCAAGAAGCATCACTACTGTCAAATTTAGATGTTGAAATACATATATACACACATATTTTTTAAATAAATTTATTTTAATAATTCACTCTTTACTATTTAGTTGTAAAGTGATGATCCTCTTACCTACTCTGAGTGCCGTGATTATTCCACAATCTCACAGCGATCTGAAGTCTACTTTATAAATATATACATTTAATGTGTTAAAATCAGTTATAAACATATCTTTTATGTATATATAATAGGTCCGTACACGCGGTGGTAATAAAAAGTACAGAGCACTTAGATTGGATGCTGGAAACTTTTCCTGGGGTTCTGAGTGCAGCACCAGAAAGACTCGTATTATCGACGTTGTTTATAATGCGTCAAACAATGAATTAGTACGAACCAAAACTTTGGTGAAGAACGCCATTGTTACCATTGATGCTACTCCTTTCAGACAATGGTATGAGAGTCATTATGTACTGCCACTAGGTCGCAAGAGAGGCGCTAAACTTGTAAGTATTTTTTAACGTAATTTAATATGACTTTATGGAATATTATATGTACAAGTATAAAATGGAGCGTAATTGTTTTTTTTTTTTTTAGACAGAAGCTGAAGAAGAAGTATTGAATAAAAAACGTTCTAAAAAAGCAGAATCCAAATACAAGGCGAGACAGCGATTTGCTAAGGTTGAGCCTGCTTTGGAAGAACAATTTGCAACAGGACGTGTTCTTGGTATGAAAAATTCTAATTCTTTTAAATTTTTGTAAAATTAAGTTGTTATAGCTGCGTTCGGTAATAGCAAATCTGAGGCGTCGGAGTGCTCTTATATTATAGCATATGTCACGTGCACTATAGAAAAAGAGCATTCTGACGCCTCAGATTTGCATTGCCGAACGCAACTTATATATTTGAATAGATCAATGTTTCTTTTTATATGAGTATAAAAAAGATGTTTTAATTTAAATCAATACTCTTAATAAGATATTTGTTCTCTTTTATGTATACATATATTTTTAAATTAACGCGACTTAAAATTAATAAACAGTATAATTGACACGAGTTAAATTGTGTTAGTAATTTAACCATTTTTGATGCTCTTTACGCATCTTAAATCGGTCTTAATAATGTCAAATGATAAATTAAAAACTGTAAATAATTTATATGGCGAAAAACATTATTTCGGCCGGGAGTCTAACACGTATCTCTTACATTCCGTACAAAAGTCCTACCAGTTAACACTACCGAGCAATTAATAATTTTAATAATTTCTCATTTTCAGCTTGTATAGCAAGCAGGCCTGGGCAATGCGGTAGAGCTGACGGTTATATTCTCGAGGGCAAGGAGCTCGAGTTTTATATGAGGAAGATTAAGAGCAAGAAAGCTAAATAATTATAATTATGATTCATTAATAAAAAACTATCTTGAAATACGAAAGAAATTGTCTCGTTTATTATTCTCTTTTGAGTGAAGGTAAATGAACTTGTTAGATATTTTTGAAATATAGATATAATTATCACACACAACATAGAATAATGTATTAAAAATATTTATAAATTTGATAGCTAAGCAATAATTAAAAATCAATTTTAAATAATTAATTAAGATAGCGTGGTGTTTTTAAAAACTGATTTTGGTTGCGTTACACATAAAAAGTTGCATGATGCATTATTTGTCCTTTCTCACCAAATACGGAATGCACTTTTTGATGACTTTCGGAAAGCCACACGCCACGTAAAAGTGCGAGTAGGACCGCTATCTATGGTGCAATTAGTTCGTGTTCCGTTTCTTCTGCTTCTCTTGTGCTTAATAAAACATGGCGGCAACGGTTAATGGTACATGCTTTGTCTTATCTCTTTTAATATTACAATAATATATGAAAAAATAATTGAATAAATATTTTCTCGCTTGTGTTATTTAACAAACAAAATTTCCATATTTAGCGCTTTTTTTCATGAGAGTAATTCTTGTACATAACCTCAAATTATATTTTTTCAATTAGTATGACAAAACGATTGATATTACACTTTTCTAAAAACCGTTCCATTTTACAGGCTGGTTATCAAACAATCTTTCTATGATGTATAGACAAGCATCGTGTCTTAATTTTTGTCCTTTGATCAGTTTTCTACAAGCACGAAATTATGCTGCCAGGAAGGGTACGAGAGAAAAAGCGAGAAAGAAAAAAGTCAAAAAGATCGTTGAAAAAGTGGGCTTCATCCCGCACAATCAGAGAAAGATGAAAACGTAAGCACGTCTTTATATCATATATATGAAAATATATCACTATTAATATATTAACATAAATATTGTACTCTTGCAATATTAGTGGAAATAAACAGAAGAAACTCGAGCTAAAGAATATTTCACCAGACGATAGCACAAGGCCTGAACCAATAGATAATGTATATGTTTCAAATTTTCATAAATGGAAAATATATCCATTTGAAGAAGCAGTGCAAAATCATCGTGAAACACATCATCCTACTATATATAATTTGCCAAATGAACCTATAAAAGCGTTTATAGAATTGAATATGCAGGTAAAAAAATAAAAATAAAGTTTATGGGTGGTGTTCATAGTCGGTTCTTATTTTAAGACTGTCTTAAGATGTTAATGTATAGCCTTCTGGTTAGCTTATTATGTCTTAAGCTGTAATTAAGACATTTTCAAATATAAGAATCGATTATACTGGCCTTTGTAAGATATATGTACACATAAGATTGTACTAAATCATTTGTTAATCATACGTTATAGGGTGTGAAAAAGACAAAATTTGTTGATGCTTTTTCACGAATTGTATGTCTACCACATGTATTCGATCATGGTCAAACCAGAAAACTACTAGTATTCTGTAAGAGTCCTGAAATGGAAGATATTGCAAGAAATGCTGGAGCTCATTATGTTGGCGGTAAACAATTAGTAAAACAGATTCATGTAAGATATTGTTTCTTACAGCATGTTGCTTACATGCTTGCTACATATATGCATCATATATCATGTCATAAGTTTGCAGAGATTATTGTTTAATAATTGATGAAATGTCTATTATTTTAGAGCGGACAATTCTCAATGAAAGAATATGATATTATTTTGTCCGAACCAACCATTTTACCTGATTTATTATTAATTAGGGGACTTATGAGGAAGAAGTTTCCCAGCGCTAAATCAGGTTAGTGGAAATATTATATACTCTTAAATTTTTATTTTTATAATATATTGTATGCACTTTGTGAGTCTACTACATAAATATATTAGCATAAAAAAATAGTATACATGTAGCACAATAGCGACACAGAAAGTATAAACTTAATAATATATGAAATGCGAGCATTTCTATAAATGCTTTGCATTGAATTTCTCGCTTTGTTAGTAATACGTGATATAAACATTTGTATTGTCTAATTTAAAAATGTTATTAATCTGGTTTAAAATATAAATTTTACGCAAGATTTGTGAAAACAAAATTGAACGATTTACATCTGTTTAAAATAAATGTTTTACATTCTCTTTATCACATAAAGTTTTTTTGTACTAGGTACTTTACACACTGACATAGAAATGATGGTAACAAAGTTTCTAACTGGTATGAAATATATGGGAAAACCACATGAAACTTTTAAGTCTTTTGGAACTGTTGATGTTACATTTGGGACGGTAAAGTTTTGATGTTGTTTATATATACGTTTTGTATTTACTATGAATATTGATGCCAATTATATATTTTATCACATGGCTTGTAGAAAATTATCAATCAATTTCATATGTTATAGCTTGATATGGATGTAAAACAGTTGGAGGAGAATTTTGCTACAATTATTAAGGATGTCAATGAAATGAGGCCACGTCGACCAGGACTTTTCATTACAAGGTAACAAATTATTCAAACAATCATGTTCTCATTTATATTGTACAAATAAATAATTACAATTATTATAAAAGTGATTATAATACAATTATTATATTTTTTGATAGAACTCTAATTACATGTTCGCCATCGCCAGAAAGGTTTAAAATTGACTTTGAACAGTATCTACCTAAAAATAAAGCATCCGAAGCAGAAGCGGAAGCAGAAGCAGAAGCAGAAGCAGAAGGAAAGCAAGACGCTGTTATCGCGTCTCATTAAGTTTGTTCATAGAACTATCAATAAAATAATATATGTAGTTATAGATATACATATGCAATAATTAAAACAAACCTGGGTTTTCCTATCATTGCGATTATCGAAGTTTTATATTTCACTTATACACACACCATACATGCATATGCATACATACATACACACGCATACACACACACACACAGACACACATATATATATATATATATGCTTCTAAAACACTATATTGTAGATTTTGTAAATTTTCTTTCAAAATTAATTAAAAAAGCGTATTAAACTATATAACGTAACAAAAAATAGATGAGCGATTATATTTTGCATCTAAAAATTTATAACTATTATGATTTTATATAGAATATTGAAATTGTTCGCGGCTACATATATAGTTTGACCGTAATAATCCTTCACCGAGAGGCATATAATTATGCGGGACGTAATCTCGTTAACGCAGATAGAACATGATGACTATGGTCCGCTTGTGCGTTAATAAGCCACGAGCATACAGAGGGAGACAGAGGCGGTTTCAGAGCTAACATGCCCTAGGCAACGTATTTACTACTAATGAATACCGTAAGGTTCTACTTCATTGAGCGAGCTATTGTACATACAAGGGCTTCGGTGATAAAGCGCTTATAGATATTTAACTTCTATATACGAGGTCTGATGAAATCTTATAGTCTTGTCGTAGCCTAGTACGAAGCCCTTGTACACGCAAAAGCTTCTGTAAACATGAGAAACTTTTGTAAATTCATTGCAGGTTCGAAGCAGAGGCCATATTTTACGATATTCTGATGCGTTTCGTCAGTAATAGTTTCTATATTTAAAAAATGCTTCCTAAGTAAAGTTCTACTTTTCTTTAACGAAGAATGCTTGCACATGCATTTTTAACAAAACAAATTATAATTAAGTTTTTGCGCTTGAATCTTTTCATCGACTTAAAGATGAGATTTGTAAGAATGGAGATTTTATAGACGTTAAAAGTATGTTCCACGATCTAGCGGAAATAATTGAGGAAGATTTTTACGGAAGTGATATCTTCGACGAGATTCAAGAAACTATTTATTTACACAACTCTCTAGTTTTGCCTTTCTCAGCGTTTGCGAGAGCCTGACGTTATAATGTGGGAGGTCTTCGCAGCAAGGATCTCGACGAAAGCATTTACGAAGATACACACGAAAGTGCATCATCGCGATCGTTACAGTCGAACACGATGATGCACTTTCACACGCGCGGTCACCCAGTTCGCCCGACGGCACAGCCGTCTCTGCGGGGAACGCGCGTACGTGTGGCTGGCGAGAAGAAGCGAAGCCAACGAAGGAGGACGAAGAAGGAGAGAAGTAGAAAGAGCGGCAGAAGGCAAGTGAAGCGAAGGAAATGAGAATGGAGAACACGGTGAGCGGCGACCGGTGGTGGTGCGGCACCGAGCGAACGGTGGAGGGGCAACGGCTCACCTACCTGCCGGTCGTGGGCTCAGTCGCTGTTCGCCAGGTTGAAAATCCGTCCGTCGCTTCTCTCGCTTTCTTAACTGGCTAGTGATCGTACACGACGCCGGCCACGCGTTCCCTCTTCACAGAAAAACAAACGCGTCGCCGGAAACGTGGCTTTTTCTGAGCGGGTGGCGCGTATTCCCTTCATTGACCTACTGATTGATTCCTCTTGGTATCGATGTTGACAATCGCGCCGGGAATCTCTTTCGGATAGTCTTTCTTGATTGTAGCGGAAATTTGAAAAAAAAATATATATAAAATTTTGCGTGCGAACCAGAGAAGGTCCGTATCTTGTGTGTGGAAAAGTGGAGGCGTATGCACGCATCTCTCTGTGTGTATGTGTTTACATATGGTGTGATACGTGTTGACTGTGTAGGGTGCAACGACACAACGAAAGAGAAAAAAAAAGAGAGAACGAAAGAGAGAGACAACGATTTCAAGTTTCCCTCTCGACGCCAGCCGCTCCGATTGCCTCCTTCGTAGACATGCCCCTGCTGAACAGCCAACAACTGCGACATTAGGTGACATATAGGCGCACACGTGCACCAGTCATGGTAAGTTTGCACAGACCGCCTTCGGTACGGAGCACGCGCTCTGCAAAATCGAATCTGACGACTCAGAGATTTTTCGTTTCCCCGAATAATCCCAGGCTGGATTCAAATAGCAGTCTAAAGTCGACTGCTTTAACATCTGTTTAATTTAATATCACATATCGTTATCACTCTGATTTATCCTATTAAATTATTTATAAATTGACAAACACTTTGTGATAGTAAATCATTAATATATAAGAAGTACAAAAGTCAACATTAGTTATTACGAAATTAATCTTTACGAAATTCATATCCTATCAAAATAAAAATTTAGACGGTTCGACTTTTAGGCCATCTACATTATTTTTTAAACTTATAGTTGAAAGTTACATATTTAAATTACTATTAAAGATAGCATCTGTTAATAATTAGTGTCATTTTTTTAAAACTTATGATTAAAATTACGCATTATTATAAATGATTTAAAATCTATTCAATGTATTGTGATAACATTATGAAAAGAATTGGAGAACAATTCTTCGGATATTCAACAGTATAAATTATGTATTGACAAGTTAGTGATAGTTATATGCTTTATATTTTCTCATCCAGATCCAAGCTAGACTGTTATAGGCTTCGTATTAGTTATGTTCTTACATTAACGGTCTTTAGTATTAAATATTTTAATTGTTAAAATTACGTCCTATATGTCTCGCTAGCATGTCATCAATTAGTGAGTTATCGGTGTAAAATTTTACCCGTCGTTTTTCGTACGCACAGATTAGACAGAATCGAATTTTTCTCGCCGCTGTTAGTATAGTCAATTCATCTACTATTATTGAATCCCATCCTCTATGCTGTATCATCATTAGAATTTCTCTTAAATAATAGTCATGGTTTTTGAGGACACAGAAGTCAGAATTCTGATGTTTAACGTCACTTTGACCATTTACAGATTTTTTAATTCCAATGCCTTAAATTTTTCATTTAATTGTACTTGAATTGTACAACTTGTAACTGCACTTGTATAATTTGTAATTTCCTATAATTTTCTTATATCTGAATTGTGTAACTTGTAACTTCTTATTCAATTATGCTTAAACTTAACTGAACTGTATAATGTATTATATAATTTATGTATAATTGAATTCTTGGCTTATACGTTCATTGCAATTATTTTTATTTCAAAATAGAGCATTTCTTTTCAAGTTTTACCATTATTGTATTCAACTTCTTTTTTTATTTTTTCGTTAAATTTAATTAGAGCAATTGAAGCGAGGCGATCATTGCAACATCGCGATTTTTCGGATACAAATAACATACACGCTGCATTTTCAATGATCTTTATCGTATATCCATTCCTATTTTATGTACTTCTTTCGAGCAACAGAGAATACGATATGGGGAAATGAACCCTTACGCATTAAAATTATGCGCGCGGTTGCTCTCACGTGCACGGAGTTTAAAGGGCATCTTATAATAAAGGTCGATGTGTGTGAGGAGGTACGGCAGGTTCAGCCGAGCTCTGATATCTTCATTTTACGTATGCGAGCTACAAGAGAGGAAGCTCGCAAGGTGAATACGGACGCGTTGGATTGGTATGCGGTGTCCATAATTTGCAGCCACAAGAGTGTCGTTAATATGGCATACACGCGAACGTGCGTTTTACGCGTGATACTCCCAGTAATTTTGAGGACCCCTCGCCATATTCTGCCAAAATTTTTTTACAATATAATCGTGGACTACTCTTGTCTTTAATCCCCATAATATACAAGGTATTCAAACGTTCCAGCCAGATTGTGAGATTTTATAAGAAAAATTCTCTCTCTGAACAAAAAGTTTCATATAAACATGGATCGAGAAATGCTTCTTTAAAAGGTTAGTTCCAAACGATCTCTATGGTTATTCTATACATTTTTACAAATAGTAGGGAAACTAAACATACGTTATCTTTCAAAAGATATCACAGAAAACGATTGTAATATTATACATTCTATAGATTTTGAGATTTCTTTAAGAACCAGTTTCAAATGTACAAAAGTATTTTTTTTTGGTTATCAATGATACAGCTTCTTAAAGATATTCTTTATTTATATTGTTAGGGGCTTGGATTTTATAAATAAAGGGTATTTTTGACAAGTATTTTAATCGATATTTTAGTCGATAAAATACTTTCTTGTACATTTGAAATTGGTTATTTAAAAAACCTATGAAATGTACTACAATCATTTTTAAATTAAAAACATAATTTAATAATTCTTCATAATTTCTATTAAAAAATTGTAGAGAATTAAATTATTTTTAAAATTTTTTATAACTGTTAACTAATAGAGAAGTAGAGTAGTAGTTTAATTTTCTACAACTTTTCGTTAAAAAACGTATACTTTCTCTGATAATCTTGTAAAAATATTTATAAAATTGTGATTTCAGAAGTTTTAGGGCGCTAACTTTTTAAAGGAACATTTTTCGATACACGTTTATAGGAAACTTTTTATTCAGAATTAAATTTCTTATAAAATTTGAGTCTTGTTGAAACGTTGAGGTCCACCCTGAATAGTAAAAATAAAACGATATATTTGCTGCTGACGACGAGAGAGCATTTATATAAGTATTGACAAGTCATCTAGAAAGCATCTGTCTTCGTCACAACGTGATTACTAATCGTGACCAGTAAATGACTATTAAGAGATATTGACTCATTGTCAGACATAATGGTTTATGTTATCAAGCATTTCGGGAACAGTTTACTTTAGATTATGTTACACGAGAGATCATTGCAGCTAAACATTGAACTGATACAGTTAGTGCAGTTGCCACCGCCATGTTTCTGGCATCTTTTATTTATAGAATGACTTTTTTTGCATCGTTTGTTTGTGCATAAAATTTCTGTGCCGCGAAAGATTAATTCTGCTCTCGCGCGCGAATAGATCGTGGCGTCTACATTATGCGCACGCCGTGCGTAGATTGCGTGTCTCGATTTATATTACTACGACGCGTGATCCGCTGGATCGTTGCGTGTTGCTTATCGCCCGAATCCCGATCCAAATTCATAAGCAGTCGTCTGTAATTTATTCTCAATAAGTATACGTCTCGTACGTCGCGCGGATCCCCTTCTTTCCTCCTTGATGATATCTGAACTTGTTAATTTATATGTATGAAGATTCAATTTGCACAAACGCATTTGGGTCTTCTTCTGGTTTTTTGGTCGAGTAGATTGGGGTTATTTCGAAAACTTGAAGACGATCATTTGACAAATATAAATTTCTTACGCATATTAATATGTCAAGTTGATACCAACGAAAATAACATAACATTAAGGTTATAGTTTCGTACTCAACAATGTAATTGTTATGTGACGATGTGTTATGTTACATTTGTTATACAGTTGGGAAATTTATGTTAACATAGTTCATATATTAAAAAAATAATATAAAAAAAAACAACACCGACAATTTTAAGCAACCATATTGCTTAATTAAATTCACATTTCTTTATATACAATATATATTTCTTCATATTTCTTTTCTCATTAAAATTAACATTTACAATACGTTAAATTAACAAATTTGATTAATTTATCTCAGAATTTATGTTGTAAAAACATTTTTATGCCATTTTTTTGTTTACTTACTCTTAAATTATTTTAACACAGAGAAATGTTAAATATCAATTTAATGTAAAATATTCAAATAACACAATCGCAAATTGACACTCAAATATACTAACAATTCAACACCAAATTTGAACAATACAAGGACTTGAGTGGATTATTTCTAATACAAATACACACAAAAGTTTTTTAATATATGAATTGTTTTCAGTGTCAACTGGGTTGCTATTAATACTGCAAGTATCAAAAAAAAATTTATCAATTGAGTATTTTCGATAACAATATCGAGCATAATATTTGAATAATCTTTCCTTAGTGGTCTCACATATCGAATTATAAAACTATCGAAGCCTTGACTGTCATTTGCCAAGAATTTTTACGAACCACCATCTCACGAAGCAGTACGTCGTGAAGTCACGCGAGGCAAGAAATCGTTGCACATTATAAGATCTAAGTACCAATAATTTCTCAACTATGTCACGATACGATGTCCTTTCGCGAGGTTGAAGCTCGAGGTCGAAAAATCGAATAATATTCGCTGACAGTGAAAGGTAGTTTGAACGAAGCAGGCTTATTGAAGATGCGATTTTGCTAATTAGAAGCTTTTTATTTATGAAATATTAACTCATTGCGTACTGCTCACGAGATATCTCGTGTTTACCGAACCGAACGACGAGACTGGATCGCAAGGTTTCTCGTTTTTGGATTTTGTTATAATCCCATACTAATGACTCGGTAATAAAATATTAAAGTAATTATGTCCGGTTGTTACGTTATAAGAAATGCCTTACAGCAATCTACACGAACGAATTCCAAAACAAATTGTGAATAGAATGCAAATAGAAAAAATGCTTGAACTACTAAGTTTCAGAGCTTAAAAAAAAATGTATGTGCAATATGCATAAAATATATTCGAAGAATGAAATTTAAAAGAGGATGTGAAAAAAATAACAAGATAATCAATAGGCTTAGATGAATAAATCCAAAAAAAATTAATAATATGCCAATATGTGAGCCGACACAAGTTATTAGTGTGTGTTTTTTATATAAAATTTATTCGAAATGAATAATAAAGAGTATATACGTTTCGACCTTCGGTTCATATTCTCTTCAATACAAAATACATTCTCAGTGAATTTTTTTTACAAGATTTCAGTAAACGTTCTGACAATCTTGTTCAACATTCGGTGAACAAGATGAAATGATGATAATTGGTTGAAAATCTATAAATATAGTACAATTAATAAACAATCGCTACAATTTGAAAAAAAATTTAGGAATCATTCACGGTGCGTATTTTCGGAATAAATTCTGATTAGAATTGGTAAATTATTGTATTTTCTAGATTTTTATTGTGTTTTTTTTAGAGAAAATTGAATAATTCCGATTAGAATCTATTCCGAACAATTAC